CGGGGCCGTAGGGAAGGGCTTCGCCGTGAAGGAGCTCGCGTGGGTGCTGCCTTGAAGGAGATGCGACGGGTGGTGAGCTCGCCGGCGGTTGGAGCTCGCCAGTGGTGGCTGTGTCGCAAGCTCGCCGGCGGAAAACCGGCGTGGTGGAGGGCGTGCGAAGCAGCGTGATGGCGGGGAGCTCGCGTGAACGGCGGTGCAGCGGGGTGCGTCGCGGACTGAGGGTGGTGCTGGCAAGGACCGCGGCTCGCCGAGGACAGCGCTGGTGGTCGCGACGGGAAGGCTCTAACTGGTGGAATGGATGGCGAGCTGCGTAGACTCGGGCGTGAACCAGGGCTGGGACGGACGAGCTGGCTGCGTGAAGGTGGCGTGGACGTGGCTCGCCGGCGGCTCGATGGAGCAGTGGCGGTCGGCCGGAAAATGAAGGTGGTGGATGGTGGAGATGATGGATCTTGATGGTTGGTTGGGGTTTTTGGTTGGGGTTTCCTTTGAATGGATAAGGTGGGAGATGGAATGGATGATGTGTGGTATTTATACACACACAAGGGGAACTAGGTTTTGTGTCTTCTTGGGCCTAACTTAGGCTTTTAAAATTCGGGCTTAGAATTAATCGACTTGGGCTTGTAAAATAAATTCGGCTTAGATCGAATAATTAAATATTGAGCTCGGTAAATAGAATAATTGGGCTCGGTAAATAAAATAATTGGGCCGGGTAGCTGAACTAAACATAGCACACTTAAATGGGCCCGAAAATTGGGCTCGTTTGGGAATTAAAAAATTTCTGACTTTACTAATACTCGATTAAAATTATAATCGAGACTTAGAATTTTATCCCGTTTCCTAAATAATACGAATGTTTTCTCCATGGCATTGACTTAGAACTTCATAAATTATGTGACTTATAAATAATGAAATACGACATAATTTTGAACTTACTCTTCTTGGAAAATAAAGTCAAGCTAATATATAAAAACTGGTTTGGGGCTTACAAAAATAATATTTAAAACAAAATAATTAAAGTTGATTTGAAATGTAGGTGGATTGATAGTTTTTATTAATGTTTTATGTACCCTTTTTTCTTTTTTTGTTGATGGTGTATATGTATATGTATTTTTTTTTTTTTTTTGTATATTACATGTATATGTTTTTTATATTTTGATGGAGTCGCCTATGTTGATTTTCATTCACTAGCTACTAGCTACATTGATGAATACACTATGGTGTGTGTATTATGCATATACACACACAAAAAAAAAAAGAACAAAAAAAATTAGTTTATTCTTGTTTTAAATCAGTTTTGGATATTTTTTATTATATGTTGCGTTCACGTAGTGTTTATTTTAATTTTATGTTTTGTAAACAATTTTACTAAAAAAATAAATTATACATATACACAACAAATCCATAACAAAAAAAAAGCATAAAGCATATATATATATATACATATATATATATATTTATAAACAGATTATAACCAGGGACGGAGGCAAGTATTAATCTCCGTGGGATGTAGCCCAGGTGGACCTTCCCCAAGTCCATTAGTTTTATTATAAAACTTTTATATTTTTGTTTTGAATTAGCCCGGTGGGCAAACAACTAAAGCAAAACAAATTGATTATTTCAAGTAATATGTTACAGATTTTTAGATTATTTTCACCCAAATATATTTTTTTTAATATTATACAGTGTTAAAAATTATATTTAATTTATAACCAGTTGGATGTTTATCCACTTGATACCAATTTTCAGCAAGGTAGTAATTAACACTAGTAAGGCTATGGTTTATCCACTTGATAACAATACAATAGATTGAAGATAATTTTTTTTTTCTACTATTATGTTTTGATTTTGTATGTTTTTTTCAACAATTCAAAAACCACCGTTGAATTTAATTATATTTCAAATTTAAATTGATGAGATGAAAATGTTCATGATCAAAATGCATGGAAAATGATACCTTATTGCAATGTTGTCATTTTTTTTTTGTTTGTTTTTTTTTTCTGTTAAAGTTGTTATAGCCCAGGTAAATTGTAAATTTTGGCTCCGCCCCTGATTATAACAAGTTACTTTATTGTAAAAAAAACATAAAAAAAAAATGTATACTATAAGCAATGAAATATTTAGATTAGTATGGATAAATGTTGTAAAACATCATGATCAATAAATTATGAATAAATGAGGTATGAAATTTTGAGATGGTGACTGTGCTCGATGGTGACGAGGTTATAAGTAAATATGAGATGGTGACTGTGCTCGATGACTATCATGAGTGGAAGGGCATTACATGGTTCGACTGGTGAAGGTGGCCGGTTTCAAGACAATATTTTTTCGGGTTTGGGGCCCGATTGAGTCAGGAGGATTACTAGGGATGAGATCATGAGATGTTTCAATTTTCTAATCGGGTCGCAACTAACTTGCTTACTGGCTTCGAAGGTGAAAATGCTCCGGAAGGATGTTTGGAGCTTGATCCAGCAACTACACATTTGGAACTTCTTCAGGTGAATGAATGAGGTACAGAATTTTGAGATTTTTGTCTAGTTTTTTCGGTAAATGGAAGAGTGCATACATTTATCTCTATATGTGTGTGCACACAGCCTTTAGCCTGTTGTTGGCATGAGAAAATGGATTTCTGAAAGTTTGATGATAATTTAGCGACATTTTGATGGATGCTACGGTTAAGCTTGGCGGGTTTTTTGTTGAGTTGTCGAGTTTGTTTCGGGATTTACATGTGTTTTGGCTGCAGATTGAATTTACAGACAGACAAGATGATGAGAAAATGGTGTTTTTTTGAGGTTTCCTAGCTAGAGCTAAGAGAATGCTGTAATGACAGTAAGTGATCTTAGTTTTGAAGGTATAGGTAGTGTTTTGTGGTTTATTTATTTATTTTTTCTTTGATTCTGCTTTGGTGGACATTTGTAATACAAACTCAAGAATCAAGACGATGTAATTCTTGCATGTTTCGATTTTCTCCTGATATTCGGGTCCCTAATCAGCTAAGATGAAGAGTAAAATAAACCCTTCCAAAACTCAGAAATTTCGTACCTTCCGATGAGAGTAGTGTCTCATAGTCATCGGGTTTTTTACCGAGCCGTTCATAAGCTCAGCTTGGCTCGACTCGTTAAAGCTTGAGTTCAGCTCTAGCTCACTTAAAACTCGCTTCATTAAAGAGTCGGGCTTGGCTCGACTCGATAAGACTCAAAATGAGAATTTTTATATATTTTTCTATAGTTGGGCTCGTTAAAGCTCGTGATGACTGTTAAAGCTTAAATTTGGCTCGTTACTATTGATAAACAATCCGATCTCTCGAGCTCGATTTCTGGCTCGTTTACGCTCAGGTTTGAGTCTAAAACTTTCACGATTTCGTGTAAGAATTGCATCTCAATAAATTTGAGATGTTAATCATCGTAATTATTTATTTTCTTCAATCATTTTATATTTATGAACAACATAAATTTGAGTTATTTGACTGTCTTTCTTTTCCCAATAACTAATAAAAAAACCATGTCGAGATTTGGTTGTCAAAACTATCGAATTCAAATTAAATGTCCGATAGAATGTTGATCGGTTAATTCAATGAGAAATAAGAGTCAACATTTCGTAGGTGCCATCAATTTGAATCCAATTCAATTTGCTTGCCTGCTTCTAACAGTATGAAATGAATAAAAGGAGGGGAAATTATCCCACATTGAGACCTTAGCAAAATCTAAAAACCAATATAAACTCCAGAGAATCAAGCTATGTTCGCCGAGTTGGGTAACGCCAGCTTGTAACCTTAGTAGGGGCATTAAGGGTGATTGGACACGGGTCTGCTCAGCTAGTTGGGCCTTTGGGTTGTCAAATGCTGGCCCGCCCGTTCCAAGTAGGGAGTTGGGCCGCGTGGTCCATGCGAATGCTTGGGCTTCGTGGTCCGTAGAGTGGAGGGCATTGCGTTAGGCTGGCCTCACAGAGCAGCGAAAACCTCCCTCTCTCTACAGTGGGAGGATAACGGGCCGGTGCTGTCTTGGCCCAATAAAAGTTATAGGGGCTAGTCCTAAGTGGACAAACATTTTTTTTTTTTGCTTTTATAAGTTGCATTTTACAATCATTTTATATTCTTATTGTTTACAGATTATTTTCTTTTATATATGTTTTATTTAATGTGAGTTTTTTTTATTTTTTATACTTAATTTACCTTTTTTTTTATATATTTAATTAATGTTTGGTCTCCATTATAATAATTCGTGTGGGAATTTGGTGTAAAGAACAAAAAGAAAAGAACAAAGCAAATCAACAGTTGGAGTTAAATTGTAAATATTATTATTACTTAACACAAAAAATAAAATAAAAAATAACCCCAAAACAGTGCATAACAACAACAACAACAAATCATAAAAGGACAAACCAAATGAAAATTATTACTTTCACTAATCAGTTCTATAATCTGTATACTTCCCTTCTATAATCCTCACTAAAAAAAAAAAAAANNNAAAAAAAAAAAAAAAAATCCATTTAGATATTCTAATGGTGCTGCTATTTTACAACCACCAAATGAGAATTTTTGTCTAAAAACTGCCAAAATTAATGAATGGTGATGAAGGAAGCTAGTTATATACTGTACACACAGCTCCATTTTATATTTATGATGATAAATAACATAAATTATGTGCTTTAAGAAGCTTTGGCTTTAAGCCAAAACAAGCTCTTCCTCCTCCATCTGTTGCGGTTCTTGTTCAAAAGATAATCGTCCCTCGTTAAAAGGAATGAGAAGCCGTTTAATTTCTTCTGCACTTAGAGTTTCGTACTCCAAAAGCGCGTTTGCTAGAGCGTGTAATGCCCTTTCGTGCTGCAAATACAAAATAATCAAAATTTGGACAAAAAACAAAAAGAATAAGAAAATGAAAGTTGCAGAAATTTTAGCGTTCGACTGAATATATATTATATTCAGCTTCAGTCTTTAAAAAAAAGCTCGAAAGGGTGCATCATATAACATAAATGTACATACAAAAGCTCAAAAGTTGGAAGTCGGGTAACTACAGCCAAATTGGAAAAAAAAAAAAAGGTACCTTTTTTAACAAAGCTTTCACTCGATTATAAGCTTCCCTCAACAGCTTTACCACCTGGAAAAACCAGCAAAACGACGTACAGATATTATTACCGATTATTTACATCTCTTTTTCAAGTGTTGAAATATCAGAAAAAACATTACTTCAGCGTCGATACGAGACTGCATTTCCGAACTCGGTCGTTCTTTGATATGAACGGGTCCAATTGCATCACTCATCCCACAACTCGATACCTTAAAAAGGAAAGAATATTCCCCAACTTTACCGAAACCTTGTACAATGTAAAAGGAATACATATCGACAGGACAAAAGATATATTATCTCAAAGGAGCAAGTTTTGTAATCATCACCTTTTTTTTATAGGCGAAATTGCATATAAAGGCACCACTTTTAAAGTTTTTGCAATTTAATCACCACCTTTTTCTATTTGTGTTTAAATCACCACCACCTTTCATATGTTTTGCAAATCGAAACATAAATTTAACTTCCATTAGATTTTCCGTCCATACCAACTCAGCCACGTAGACGTTTCGTCTATGCCAAGTCAGTTCTAATCTAATGGAAGCTAAAATTTATGCTTCGATCTACAAAACATATGAAATGTGGTGATTTAAACGCAAACAACAAAAGATGGTGCCTTTATATGCAATTTTCCCTTTTCTATATATATAAATATGGTGTTAAGTACCATATATTGGGCAAGCTCGGTAGCCGTGTTGAGATCACTACTTGCCCCAGTCGTAACATGGTCCTGTCCAAAGATAAGTTCCTCCGCTACTCGTCCCCCCATGCAAACATCAAGCCGAGCCAATAACTGTTTTTTGCTGACTGATGTCTCGTCGTTAGACGGGAGCTGAGTGACCATGCCAAGAGCCGATCCACGTGGCAAGATCGTGGCTTTGTGAATCGGGTGCGCGCCTTCGGTGTTTAAAGCAACTATAGCGTGCCCACTCTCATGATATGCGGTGAGCTTTTTTTTTTACGTCAAAAACAAAAATCGCTCGATTGAGTTGGAAATTGTTGATATGGAAAGTGTTTTCTTTTTTTCGAAAAAAAAAAAAACATTAAATCAGAAACCTTTTTTGATTCTTCAGACACGAACATTGTCTTTCTTTCCGTTCCCATCATTATCCGATCTTTCGCGAACTCTAACTGAGTCGAAGTCAACTTCTCAGCTCCTTCAACGGCTGCTTTAATGGCAGCAATATTTACCAAGTTCGCCAAATCTGCTCAATGAAACGGAAATGAAATAGTGAACCAAAATAGTCTATTTCTTGATGCATTATGCATTTTTACATTCTTTTTCTTTTTGGCGATTAAAAAACAAGTAGACTTCATGAAAGTTGAACCCCTTTCTGCTCTAAGAATTTTCCCTTTCGAATTTTCTTTCCCTAATAAAGCTGTTGGATATTAAATTAATACCCATCTAAAAGTATACGATTTTCTTTAATCATCAAATAATGATTAGAGGTAAAAAAGAGATAAAAAAAATGCCTGCTCCATTGAATCCAGGAGTTCCTCGAGCAATTGCTTTCACATCAACATCATCTGCCAAAGGTTTGTCTTGTAAATAGAGATCCAATATCTCTTTTCGACCCCGAGCATCTGGATTAGGAACAACAATCTAGAAAAAAAGTTTTTTCTAGGCATTAGTTTTCCTTTGAAATTAGTCTAATTTAGAAGTCATTATTAAAGTCGAGAAGTACGTGCTAAAATTAGGCTAAATTAGAAGTCATTATAAAACTTACATGGCGGTCAAATCTACCAGGTCTAGTCAAAGCTTGATCGAGTATATCGGGTAAGTTTGTAGCCGCCATCACGATAATTCCCTGAAAAATACTCAAAAAGCCTAAACTCAGTGAAATATGATATGAAACGTTTTTATTTATTTTTTAATATTTTATGTGGGTTAACCTCATTCTGCTCGAAACCATCCATCTCGACGAGTAATTGATGAAGTGTCTTCTTCGTATGACCTTCCCATTGCTTCCGGGTAGACCCAACTGCATCGATTTCATCAATGAAAATGATGCACGGAGCCTGCAGCAATGTTATATACAAAAATCAGAAATAAAACTTGATGGGAAA